AAAAAGCAATTAATTCACCAAAACACAAATAAATTATTAAAACAACACTTGATAAGATATCTAAAAATATTTTTTGAATATTTTATCGGACAACTCATTTTTTTAAAGCAATCTTTAAAATTATGATTTTTAAGTATACAATTGTTGTTTTTTTTTGCATACTATATATATACACACATTTAGGCTTTAAAATTTTTATTTTGGGATCGCTGGTATAAAGATGGCAATAGTTGTTAAATAATTGTCAAGGATTCAACAATGTTTTTTTTTGAAACATTGGTAAATCCATAAAAGTCAGGTACCATCAAAAAACAGTTAGATAAGCTAACAAAACAGACAAAAGTGTAAAGGTGATGAAATAAAATGTATGAATAAAATATCGGACAGCGAATGTTATCTTCAGGCAAACTTAAAATATCCCGATTAATCTTTCTGACATTACCTCCAAAGTGGTTAAAACAAAATGATGTATCTTTAACTGGAAGATCTTCTCTAGCCAGCAATGTAAACTGAAGACAGCAATGTAAACTGAAGACATAGCCAGCAATGTAAACTGAAGACATTTTAATATCTTTAGACTATTTGTTTTCAATAACTGTTATGAAGCACATTGAACAAAATATCATCTCGCAATACATAATTATATTTGTCACAAAATGGCTTGATGATACCAATATTCAGACAAAGTTTTGTTTTTTTAATGTCAGCTTTTTGTAATATTTGCTTAACATTTATAAAATAGGTAGCACCTGATCCTTGGAAAAGTTTTCCGAATGCTTTTTCAATAGGATCACTAGTAAAATGTCTAAAGAAAACATAAATATGATTTGTGGTAGTAAATGTTTTACTATTCCAACCATCTCACGACATGTATGAGAAAAAGCATGAGTAGTGTCTTTATTTAATTTTTTTTAGTCTATGACCTTATTTTTAAGAAGCCATTTTTTGACCACATCACCTAAATTTAAAAGTAAGTGCAATCATTTGTCATTGCTTGATAAAAAATCAGCACGATATTTATCTCTAGTACAAATATCTTTATAAAGTCCTTTAATGCTAACAGTCCTAAAAAATTTGATAAAAATAGATAAAAACACTGTGGTGTCTTCAACTTTTTTTTATGGATGGATGAGTTTTTATAGCAGCTACAGTCTCATCACAAAATACTCTTAAACAAGTTGACACATTTTGACCTTCAATTGGTTTAGGAAAAATTGCTGTTTTATTAAGTTTAAACAATTTTACAATAGCATTTTTTTCAAATAGAAAATTTTTTTAAGATCTGATCATTTTTCAGTTCTTGAAATACCTTTGTAAGTAAAACGTACTTCTTGGAATTTTTCTGTGAGCCAATTGTTGCGAATAGATTTTACTAAATGAACAAAGTCACATAAGAAGAAATGTTATCATTAGTGCATTAAGTTTTACTGAGATTAAACATTCCAAAAAAAATTTTATTTATATTGCTATTGTTGCTAAGAATAACAACAACAGAACAACCACAATATTTTATTGTTTTAATTGTTTGCACTATTTGATTGTATTGAAAATTAGCATCTAAATCTGTTACTGGTAATGATTTATAAAAAAACTGCTTTCCACCAAATAAAGACCAAATCATTAAACCCAAAACTATTTTTGGTAATTCATTTAGGGAATTCACAGATTTACCAAAAATGTTACCTGCTTGATATGTTAACTGCGGTTTACAATAAATTTCATCAATTAGTAGAATAACCTGTCATTGAGAAATAAAACATTTTTCAAAATATAACTTTAAAAAATCATTATCTCTAACATTTCTAACTTTAGATGTCAACTTTTTCATCAAAGATATACTTGTTAGTTCGTAGTCATCACGACATCGAGAGTAAAGAGTTCTTGACAATGAAAAGTACTCTAATGCCCTAGCAATCATATCAGGAGAATACTTTTTTTCACCAATGAACATTAAGGAATTTATACTTAACATTCAATGTTCAATAATAATACTTTTCTTGTGATCAATTGGTAAAGAATTCAGATAGTGTATTGCAGCGTGTAGTGATTTCGCCGGTTATCCGGTTTTGCGGTTAGCCGGATTTTGTTCGAATAGCAAATATCTATTTTCGAATAATAAAAACCGACTTTTACGAAATAAAACAAATTTTACGAAATATTATAAAGTAACAACGTAATTATGACGATTATTGTTTGACAAATGTTAGTTTATCAAAGATTATAATAAATTTCTTTTATTAATTTAAATGGTAATTTAATCAGTTTTGTTTGATAATGTATTCTTAAAACAATTTTCAATAGAAATCTCAAAGATTTATTTATTACTTTTGCAACTCAAGCAATACATTTTTAAGAAAGTTTCTTCAGAATATTCTGGAACTCTAATTTGCTTATTCAGCGTATTTTTTGAACCAATATAATTTATTTATTCGTAGATTTGGCTGTATTTTAGTGTTAGCAAATATTCTTTTTATTATCTTTCCGCAACAAGTTGTTTTAAGAACATTCAAGTTTATGTGTTTCTATCTATGTCCACATAACAACAAGTTTTTAAAATACACGCTAAAAAAATATATAATAAAGAGAATTAGTTATATAATATAGGACTGTATTCACTAACTGTCTTAAAAATGTACACTTTAACATTAATTTTTAAAAAATTAGTTTAAAATGCAACGTTGAAATTTAGAAGATCATGTATTCAGAAAGCGTCACTAATTTACCGAATAGTCGGTTAACCGCAAATTGATGGGAACTGTTATCCGGTTTTTGAAATGGATAACCGGCGAAATCACTAGCAGCATGGAGACAACTAATACAGTCAATATTCATATGATTGTAAGAAAAAGGTGCACTTAACACTACAGTGATAGCTATCAAAGAAAAAATCATTTTTTATTTTCAAAATAAACATTGGAACACCCAAGTTATCCAATATATCAGCAGATTGAAGATGTAAACAGTTTTCATAGATATTTGATATTATTGAGAAGGAAAAAGACATTACTTTTAGACATTACTTTATTACAAAAACCTTCAAAAGAAGAAATATTATCAGCTTTCACAAATGCCTTCATTTCATTAGGCATAGTACTTCTTAAAGATAGCAATGATTTAGTAGTTGGTCTTGGTGGTGCCAGTAGTGTTTACACAAGAAAATACAGATGGTGGATGTTTTGATCTTAACTTTCCATAACTAAAACTTTTTCATAGTCTTTAGGTCAATGATCTTTACAAATAAAAGTATTTGGGCTATCTGGAATATGATCTCAAGGTATAGCACTTATCCATCTTTTTTGTTCATTCACATTTTTTTTATTTGAAAGGCAAAAAACTTTCATAGACTTTGTATCACCGTAGTTACCTCTGAATCCAGTGACAAACACTTAAAACCCTATTCTTTAAATTTAATTATTTAGCTCTAAAAAGAAAGCAAATTTAATATACAAAAAAATTAAAATGTATCGCGTATTAAATTAAAAGACCATGTTCTTTTTTTAAAACGCTCTATATTACTAGAAAATTATAAAATTAAAACTCGCCTACAGTTTTTTTTTAAGCTGCATATCTACTTGGCCTGCCACTATAGTAGGCCATGCAAGTAACTAAAAACTTTGAGTATTGTAAGTAACTAAAAACTTTGAGTATTGTAAGTAACTAAAAACTTTGAGTATTGTAAGTAAATAAAAACTTTAGGTATTTTAAGTAACTAAAAACTTTAAGTATTGCAAGTAGCTAAAAGCTTTAAGTATTGCAAGATTAAAATCCGATCCATAGTTGATTTTTTTACAGGTAATTTAATGTATAATTAAATTGTTTTTTTGTTTTTTTAAATAATTGATATACCCTTGTGTTATTAAAATGTGTTATTTAAACAACTTCAATGTTTATATTTTTATTGTTTACAAAAAATTTCATTTCTTATAAAATATAAAGGTGAACTAAAAGCTTTATAGGTTTAAACTGTACATAGTATTAGTAAAAAAAGTAAACTTTGCTTATTGCACAATATAAAAATAATAGCCAAAATTTTAAATCAATTGAGTTAAACCTAAGCAATATATGGTAAAATAAAAGCATTATATTTTGTATATAAGCTAGCCTATTTTAGGCATATTACATGCTTTTAATGAATGTTGCAGCTGTCAAGTGATAAAACCAATAATTAAATCGAAACCAAACTATTAATTTTTCAAGAGTCAAGCTGAATTAGTTTAAAGAAATGTTTTATGATATTAATGTATAATGGTTATTTTCAATACTTTTTAGCTAAATGTAGTAGCATAGTCTATGTAAAGTTGCTCTTTGCATATATAAAATGCACTTCGCTTAACTCTTTATGACAAGGCCTTATTTATAAAATATTTAAATTAGTGACCAATGTCTTAATTTTTTCTTATAAAAATGTCTTTGATATTGTCTTTTATAAAATTGTACACAGTCAATAACACCTTAAAGATCATACTTATGTTTCAATAACATAAATGATGTAATTACTGTACAAATCAAATATAAGTAAGATATATCAATTTAAAAAATTATACTGGTATTAAAAAAACAGGTTGGACTAATAAAAAATTTAAGTACTATTATTTAAGTATTATTATTGGGACTCAGTGAAAAATGTAGTAAATCAATTTAATTTGCTTATGAAAAAAAAAAGTATAAAAGTACAATCCTTTGTTTGATTAAAACTTTTATTTTGTTGAAATTCTTTAGTTATGTCAAGCTGAAGCAAAAGATGCTTTTTATAATCGCAGCAGACTGCACACTGAGAAAAGCGAGAAAACATATTTTAGTTTTGTAAACTAAATCATTTTAAAAGCTTTTAGAATAAATGCGCACATTTATTGTTAAAACCTGAAACTTTTACAGCAGAAAAAACTATTTAGATTTATGAAGTTAATATTAACCTCACCACCAGAAATATTAGAATTAAAAAAATAAAGTTTTTTTTGTTTATTTGTTTCAATATTGCAATGAGGCTTTTTTAAATATAGATACCTGACAGAAAAAGTTGTACCTGGAAATCGAGTTACTGTTATAGGAATTTTCTCAATTAAAAAAAATGTTGCAAGTAAAAAGAGGGTGAGTTTAATTACTAAGTTTTAAATATTTAAAAAAAAAAATTATTTTTTTTATTTTTAGCAAAGTTTTTTTTATTTTTTTTATTTTGAATATAGTCATACTATTTAACTAGTCTAGAAATGTGTCAAAATGAATTTTTTAGATGACTGGGCTGAGAGTGCATCTAATACTTTTAAAATGACTTTCGTGCAGATTTTAATAATTAGAATGAATTTGATGTTTTTTTAGCTGCTAATTTTTGACCTTGGACCTCATTTTCAGTTCAAATGTTAAGTTACCAGAATTTATCCTAATCAAAATGAAAAAAGTATATTTGTTTGTTTTGTGAGAAATGATGTATATCATTATCATCATCATCAACACCAAACACATGGACAAAGTTATTGATAAACTATTTAGTAAAGAATAAAAGAAAGTAGGTTATTCTTCATTCTAAAAGAGGTTATTCTTCATCCTAGTCAGTTTCAAAGTTATTTAGTTCAGAACAGAGATTAATTTGCTTCTCTGCTAAAATAAAAGCTGAATTTACATATTTTAAGTATAAAGGAAGTCAATACAGCTTATTCTCTAGTTTAAAAAAAATCTAACTGATACATTTTATAGAAATGCTGAAAATTTTTACTGCAGGTTAATCACATTATTAAAAAAATATATCTTTTTAGACTTGTGGGAGCTTTTTTTGTACAATTAGTTTTAGTTTTAACATGTCTACTTTGTATCATAAGTAGCGTTTATCTAGAGATGTCATTTCGTTGTAGTTGTAAGTCAACTACACTGTGGGCATTTATAAATAGGTTGTGTCACAGCACACATTTGTTGACTGTTAAACCAAATATTTTAACTACAGTTATGCATAAGAGTTTTATACTCTTCAAACCATTCAGAAAAATTCAAAAATAATCAGCTCAGTTATATTTTGCACATTATAGGTAATATCAAAAAATTCTGTATATTGATTTAGTATTTCAATTCACATTATAGGTAATATCAAAAAATTCTGTATATTGATTTAGTATTTCAATTCACATTATAGGTAATATCAAAAAATTCTGTATATTGATTTAGTATAAAAAACTCTAAACTTATTATAATGAAAATTATATTTTCATGACAACCTGAACTTAAAGCATTGTTTAACTTTAATAGGAAAGACAATTAAATGGTTGACCTTTTTATCAAGTTGCCGAATATTCTTGACATATCTAGTTTTATTACTTTTGCTTGCAGCTAAATGCGCAGAAGAAGTGATTCCTTTACTAGTGCATAAACATATCAATTCAAAAGTTAGTAAAAAGATTGTTTGTATCTTTACTACTACTAAATACCATTTTATTCATATTTGCTTTTGTAAAAGATAATCTAAAAAGCTTTTAAGATTTCAAAGAACCAAATAAAGTCAAATATAATAGAAACAGCATTTACAAAAACCCTCAATTTTGGAAGAAAGAGGGATGTGTTGAACTTATTAAAATGGCTTTTTTTATAACCACATATCATTTAAAAATATTATTGGCATATTATTAACTTCTCCTGATGTTGTAAAATAAGTTTATTTTATTAGCATTTAATAGTTTTACAGTGTAATAATTTTATGAATTATTTTTGAAGTTTTAAAGAATTAAAAATAGTTCAATCATGTTTTTAACCGTAACATATATATAATAATAAATAAAAATCTACAAAGTCTACAAAAAAATAAATAAAAATCTACAAAGATCCAAATTTAAAAGAAAAAGTATTGAGTTTTGAACAAATATATAAACACTATATTGTAAATAATATGAACAATACCAATGATTTGCAAGTGATTTGCAAAAGCTCCATCACAAGTTACTGCAATAACATTTAAGAAATTTAGTTTGCTATTTCTGATTGCTTCTAAAGCAAAAGAAACATTTGACATGCAGCGGTACCAGTTGTGGTGAAGTCAGCTTGATTAATAAAGTATATAATCATACACTGCAGCAGACATAGAGCCAGGGAATAATTATGTGATATCTTATGTTAGTTGAAGCCAAGCTCAAGTACTTTAGTTCATAATAACTTTATAAAAGATTTTATTTATGCATTCAACATGATACCAAATCATTGGTTAAACTAAAAAATGATACTTTTTTTGATACACAACTTAAGATAAGGAAGACTTAAAAAAAATGTTTTTTTTTGTTTATAGTACAGTTTTCAAGCATTTTAATTTAGTATTAAAGATTTGGTTGTTGATGATATGGAAGAAGCAATAGAAAAAGACTCCACAGAAAATCAGTACTCTAATTAAAACTTAGATTTTGGTGGAGTAAATCGATATGTTATGCCATTGAATACTGACTTTGATCAAATTATTACCATTTTTAAAGCTGTAATAAAATTTTTTAAAATTGATTACAAGGCATTCTATTTTATAACAAAATATAGCTAAAATAAAACTCAAGTTAAACAAAAACAAAATATACTTAAAATAATGGAGAAAAAACTCAAGTTAAACAATAACAAAAATATAAGAAAAATAATGGGAATAAAACTTGAGTTAAACAAAAACTTAATAAATTTGCTTAAGTGTAATGATTCAACAAATTTTAACTCTTTTCAACTTGACAAATCCTTAATCAAATTAAAGCTTGATCCCATTTCAGAAAATAATATTTTTGCGCTACAAAACCTGGTTGAAGTTCTTTCACCACGTGAAACTGAATTGAGTAAAAATGCAAATCTCATAATAGCTGAAAGAGTTTAAAAATTTACAATCAGTTCTAATTAGTATATCAAAAACTGATACACACTATCCAAAAAAATGATTGGATGAAAAGAGATCTAGTGTAATAACTTTTATAATTTATCTACAGATTAGAAATATACCAAGTTCTAATAATCATTTTTAATATTTCTCAAAAAATGTAGCAAATTTCATGCACTGTTAAAATTATGGAAAAACAATCCACAAATGTTTAGAAATAACATCATAGAAATAACATCAAAAATTGGATAGCAAAAAGCTATCCGATTTCTGATGATATTTCTATTAAATCATCTGCATCAATAACTTAAAAGGAATAAATTTTATTTCTAATCCACAAAACAAAATCTTTGTTAAATCATAAAATTTATCAAACTTAAGAAAGAATTTTGTGAATTAGATTCTTTCAAAAAACAATCAACAACCTCTGGCATTTTGTAACAAATTACTTTTATAACAATAGATGTATCCCGCATTTCAATGACCACAACTCGGCATTATCTGAAATAAGCACAGGTAAGGTAATCAGGCAAAACCTGGTCCAAAAAAGCAAAATTAAACAGAAAATCTGTTATTTATGTTTTTAGTGGGCTAAAAAATGGATTACAATTTTGTACACATCTTGATCATTTAAAATTTTAAAATCAACAACATCTTGTTATTTAATAATATGGACAAACTTTCTATATTTTTCTTTGGGCAGTGTACCTAGTGGCCTTCATGCGAACAAGTTAATAAGTTTATGCCAAAAAACTTCATAACATTTCTATCAACAAGATGCATTATTGATTGTACTAAACTGTTTAGTCAGAAACCTTCATCGCTGGGACACCAGAATTCTTTATTCTCTAGTTATTATCATCGTGTAACTTACAACCGATTGTTAGGTATTTCTTCTTCAGGAGCAATAACTTTTATAAGTCAAATTTACGATGGATTTATTTCTGACAAAGAAATTGTCGTAAGATTGGGTTTCCTTATTAAAGAACTATAGAACAAAAATGATTCAGTTATGGCCAATCGTGGGTTTATCATTTCAGACCATTTAAACACAATCTATGTTAAATAAAATATACCATCTTCTTCAAATAGACAACTAGAGTTAAATAAAAAAATGCTACAGAAAGTCAAACTTTCGCATCTTTGAGAGTTCATGTAGAATGTGCTATTCGTAGGGTTAAAGTATTTCGCTAAATAAGTAGTGAAATTCCTTTGGTGTTTCACGGTTCAATTAACTATGGACAGCCACTTGTCTTTTATGTAGCTTTCTGCCACCAATTATCAAAAAGCAAAATCAAAAATAAAAACATTTACATATAGAGGGTAATATACTTTCTTTGGTATTTATATTATTGTCCAATATTTGTTGTAAAAAATAGTTAACATAAAAATCATTTAACTTAAAAATTAATTTAATAAAGAACTGATTGTCTAAAGGTGTTCTTATAATAGTGATTCCTTTAAATATATACTAAACAAAGTCACAAGATTTGGAATTGCTTAACCTCATTGCCATTTGTATTTGTGTATAATAACGAATATGATGATCTTTTTTTAAATACGATTGTCCATTGTCTAATCCAATATAAATATCATTGTCATTCAAACATTCAAAAATAGACAAGTACTTTTTCATTCTAGGACATCTATATTCAATTAAACCATAATAATATTTAGCCTCTTTATCATGTACAAGACTGTCCAGACTTGCAGATAACCAAAATAAATTTGGTTGTATTACAATTCCAGTTGTCCTAACTGAAATATTGCGATTTAATCTACTTTTTAAAACTTCAACATATTTCTTTCGTGCATGTGGCTCATAAGCAAGCCCATGGTCTAAAGACTTTTAAATAAATTTAGACAGATCAACTTTTTGTGTGTTATTGATTAACTGATGAACAAGAGTTTCAAACTGCCTTCAGCGTATATAAATTTAATGAGAAGTACTTGAAGTTAAGCAATGTTTTTTTAGATTAAACTACAGCGGATTTTTATTTTGTGTAATGGTATCAGCTTCATACTTTCTACTTTGTTCAGAAGATACCTTTATTGATAACAAAAAATCTTTCTGTTTTTCATTAAGCTCCCAGTTGCAAGGTATATAGATATGATTTTTATTATAAAAGCCATGAGGTAAATGAGGTAAGATATTAGACACATTAAAAGAAATTGCTTTACACTTTTCAAAATTAGTTCAAAGCTCTTATTTATCTGGAGTTGATAAGATGTTGATAAGATAAAGAGTTGATAAAGGAGAACCAGATGAAAAATTTCCAAATGATGTTTCAGTAAAACTAAAAATGTCAGGTACCCAATGAACAATACTAATATCTTTATTTAAAAAAGCAACATGTGATTTTAGATTGTAAATATTCCCCTTTAAAGTTTCTTCTTTATATTTTATTCGGCTGGGATTATATAAAGTAGGCTTAATGCCATCTTAAATTCAAATTTTCAAACATAAACATAATAGGCTTTTTAATTGTTTAAATTTTATAACCTAGAATGCTCCATTGCCTTGATCTACTTGTGTAAGCAAACTCTTCAGCCACACCCTCAAGTAAATTTAAAGAATATTCTGCAAGTTCAAATAATAGAGCCGTCAAATTAAAATACCCACTATTTCCAGCAGGGCACAAACAGTATGCTTTTCTAATAGAGCCAGTCAATCTTCTAATATAATAATCTGCTAATAATAAGTCATTCATCTGCAGATTTCAAACTAGGGAACTATTTGAATTTCTATTTATATATAAAACAGTTGGTATTTCAGTTGAATAATTTTGTAAATCTAGTATAACATCTTCTACTTGAGAATTCATATTTTAAACAATTATTTTGATATTTACCTTTTATCATTGCCTGATGTCATTATATCATTATGTCATTGGAATGCAGGATGCATCTATTTAAGCAATTTGTTACATAACGCAATTTTGTTACAAAACGCTTTATTAACAATTTGCTCAAACTTAACATTTTTTTTCAGAAGCTGTTAAGTTTGAGCATTAAGATTGACACTTAACACCATTATCTACATTATTTGCATCCCCTCTTAACATCGTTATCTACGTTATTTGCATCTCTTAACACCATTATTTACGTTATATGTTTGAGTCATTAAGATTGACTAAAACAACAAGATTAGTTTTTCTCATTATTTATTTTTAATCAAAAAAACTTGGTTCAAACCTTTTTTTTCAACATTATCTTTGATATGAACGCAATATGTGTTGGGAGTTTGGGATCCCTTAAATATTCCTTTTTAATACTGTTTCTCTAATATAAACAATCTAGAGCATTTTCTTTCCTTAACTAAAGCTCGTCCGTACATTAAGTAAGGCACTCTCTTCAAGTTTTCTTACTTCTACCACTACCATTTTCCCCGAGACAAGTTGTGTTTATATCATAGGTAAACATTAGAAAATAAGTTAAAAGTTAATTAAACTTTCCAAAACAAATTATTGAATAAGATATTAACAAAAGCATTTGTTGTTTTGCATTATACTTCTGGTTGAGAGCCTAATTTTAATTTTTTAAATTTCTGTAATAAAAAACATCTGGTTTCAATAATAAATGTTTTCGTTCACCGCAGAATTTTATAACCTCATTTCAATTTTACACAATCAGATTGAGTTTTCTCCTTCATATTTAGTCTGCGACGGTTAAAAAAAACGTTTGCTGTAGTATGTTTTTTGTTTTTGTTCAATGTATCATTAAGTGCTTGAGTTAAATAAACTAGCATAATAAAAATAGTAATTTAGGCGAAGCAAACTTTAAAATACACAAGATGAATATTTTTCTTAAAAAATAAGTAATCAATTTTTTTATATACAACACTAAGTACAATATAATCCAACATGGTTAAATTTTGAAAGATTTAAAAATCTTTATTTTTTTAATAAATTGAGGAAACCGTTTTTAATATAAACCGTCTAATATATATTTTTCAGATATATATAAAATTGATATGAAAAACTTGAATCTTATATTTTCATTTAACTGCCAAAGGGAAAACCCCTGCAATTTAAACTTGATTTAAGTTTTTTGAAAGAGACTTTTTGTATTGACATCATTAATCAGACCTGATTTAAAAAATAAAAATAGTCATAGAGCTGAAACTTTCCTTCTCCAGAAACAAAATGGCGTTAAAAATTAAAAAGTTTTTTGTTAATATCTCATTCAATAATTTGTTTTGGAAAGTTTAATCAATTTTTAACTTATTTTTTAATGTTTATCTATGATGTTAACACAACTTGTCTTGGCACTTGGGGATCCCTTTAATAGATTTTGCTTTTTATTATTAGTAGCTTATATTTAGAATGATGATGGTGGTGTTGGTATACGCAAACCATATATGAGAGTAATTGGAATCCAGATTGAAACTGCAGGAGCTGGTCGCAGCTCAGGAAATATTCATTTTTCACCAAGTGATGAAGAGGAATTTTCAAAATTAGCTGCTCGTCCTGATGTTTTTGATTTAGTTTGGAGAAGTGTAGCTCCGTCTATTTATGGTAGTGAAGATGTAAAAAAAGCTGTTGCTTGTCTTCTATTTGGTGGATCACGCAAACGGTATTTATTCTTGGTTTTGTGTTGGTAATTTTTTTATATTTTTGAGTTTAAAGCATTCATATTTTTCTGTTAATTCTCGTAAAGATTCATTTATACTATTTTGAGTTTGAGCAACTTTTAAGATTAAAGGTTTATTATGATTCTGATCAAAAACATTAATATCATTAAGATCAATTACAATTATTTTCTAGTGAAACATTTAATATTTTTTTATTTGGTTCAAATTGAGACCTGTTAATATAATTCCTTATATATAATGTATAATTCATTAGATAATATAAAATTATTGTGCAATAATTTTATATTACATAATGACTTTAAGCAAGTATAAAATAAGTTTGAGAAAAATAAAAAAAAACCAGTTATAACATTCAAAATGTCTTATTTTTCAAATGTGTTTTTAAAAATGTTTAATATTATAAATTTAGTCTTACACTATCGCTTTGACTAAGAAAAAGGTTTTTCCAAAGTCTGTAGATTGTGACGTATAATTTAAAGACTCCGATTTAAAATGTAGTAAAAGTAAATTGGAGAAAGCGAGCTTTGACTAAAATAACTTTGACTAAAAAATGGAGTTTGAGATCCCTTTAACCTACTTTTTTAATACTGTTTCTCTAATATAAACAATCTAGAGCATTTTCTTTCCTTAACTAAAGCTCATCCATAGATTAAGTAAGGCACTCTCTTCAAGTTTTCTTACTTCTACCACTACCATTTTCTCCTAAAGTTGCTACCTCTCTCTCTCTACATGATGATACCTAAATCACTTTAATTTTTTCTAACAAACGCTTGATGCAAGATAATCTTTTCTTTTGGCAAATACTATTCCATATGAATACTAAAGTTTATATAAACATTTAAAGATATTGTATGCCAGCATCTAAATAAATAGCAAACATGTGTTTATATCCATATTTTGTATGCATAAATGCGCATCTTGAAAGCTTTTATTCCTTCCGGAATAAAAATTTGAAAGCTTTTATTCATTCTCTTCAATTTTAATTCAAGCCTCTTTCTACTCCACATTTTTCACCATTTTGAGCAGTTGCTTAATTAAACTGTAATCATTTTTTTTTTTGTCTTTTTTACAAAAACATCCTAAAAGCAAATGTCCTTTTTTTATTACAAGAACCCAATGTAAAAAGGTCCTGTCTGATCTTAAGCTCTCAATTTACTAAATCTTGTATCTTATCTCAGATGTTAGGTTCTAGAGACTTTTGGTTATTCTTCAACTTGTCATTAACTAAAGTAATCTAACATTTAATCTTTAATTCATTGGTCTGATCTTTTTACTTCTCCCCAGAATAGGGCAGAGTTATCTGAAAAGAACTTTTCCTCTAACATGACTCTTGAATCTAATGGCCATATTCTTCCTGTCATGCCAGTTAGCAGATTAACTCATTGTTAAAGATCCAAAACACTCTGGCTTCCAGTGTTAAAGTTAATTTTCAATTAAACACTACAGTTTCTGCTTCAGACAAGATTTCCATCATAGTCTTATTAAAGTGTTCTCCAGAGCTCTCTACATTTTTTGCTAAACTTTTTAAAGTGCTAAATACATGGTTCCAATTTTTCAAAACTCTAGAAAACACTTTGACCTCTCTAACTGAGGAGTGGATTTGCTAAACCAGATAATTCACTTTTTATATAAAAAAGACTAAAAATTGTTTTTTTGTCGTACTAATATTTCTACATCTTTACAAATAAAAATTAAATTTAAAAGCGACTATTTTAATACCATTTTACCTGTCTTAAATTATTCTCGATGCAAAAATAAAACAAAATTTTTATCTAATCAACAATCTGATTTAAAAACCTTTTATAAAAATAGAGGGCGTTATTTGAGAAAAAACAATATACAAAAAAATTCACAAAAATCACAAAAGCCATATTTTAACAGTTACAATTAAGTTTTAACTTCATCACTTCTATAAAAAGTATCAAACATTAACATTACTTATTTTCGAAGGCAGAGGGGCGTTTTGCACAATTACATTGATCATTAAAATTGTCCACTAATCAAGTTGACTTCATAAAATTTTTTTTGAAAACCAGTTAGAAATAAATTTCCGACGAAAACCAGATAAAAATATAATTGAATAGCAAAACCAGATAAAACGTTTTTTCAATTTCTAATAAAAATAAGATCAAAAGAGCACAATTTTCAAATTTTTGTCATAAACATTCTTTTAATGAAATCTATTGTTATTTTAATGATATCTATTGTTAAGCTTTTAATTTTCTATTTTTAGCTAATTTATATCCTCTATTTTAAAGAAACTCATAATTTAATAGTGGTTGCTTTTAACCTTGTTGGAACTAAATTAGAGTTTAAAAATGTATAAATATATGCCAGTATTAAAAAAATAGTAAATGTAACCATAAAATTATAATGTATAAAGTATTATAATTTTTTTTTTAGCCCTGACTATAAACTCTGCTAAATCTTATAAATTTGCTGTGGCTTGGTTTGCAAAAGGTCTCATTTTTAGCTTGGACCAGGGCTCCAGTCACTTACTAGTGGCAGGTAGAGGTCACTGAGATCACAAAGAATACAGGGCTATTTTTGAATAAATGATTGTTGAATCGTAGCAGTCTTTGCAGTGTTCAGAGCAAGTGGTAATCTGTTTGGGCTTCTGCTGTTAGTGTGAGCTGATTTAGTCGTTATTGGATGGCATGATTCAGAAAACATCTTTTGAGGATATTAATACAGACCTTGTCTAGTAACTCTTCAATGGTAAAACTAATATAAAGCCACTCGATTTGGTTACATCAATTCCAATAAAGTGTAGGGCATTTTTGTGGAAATATTGTCTCTTTTTTTGTAGCGAGACTCCAAAAAGTAAGAACAGAGGCACTATAAATCAAGTGGCTAATTGCGTAAGATCTGTAGACTTGTAAAAGGTTGGGCTGCATGTGTCCGATTTGCGTTTGACTAGGTATGTTAATGGTTTTATGTTGTGCTCTTTTGCGCATTTTTCATCCCAAATCCCACATCTATTATTAAGTATGAGAGAAGGTACATTATTTCAGAACACCTGGGATTACTTTTAATGGTTTCATATTTAGAGGTATTATGTTTTGTCGCAACCATAGTGTGGCACCATTAACAACAGATTGAGATAAGTTCGCAGAAACTTTATCATAAATTATATAAGTCAAGATGTCATAAGCATTTTTTTTGAAGAATTGTTTCAGGTGGAAGATAGGCATTAATGTGAGCAATAAAGGATTAAACCAGGAATACTACCCTGAAGTACACCAGCTTCAAATCATTTCCAGTCAGTGATGTGATCAAATGTTTCAATTCTTTGGCAATGGTTAGATAAGTAAGCTACAATCAAGGAAGCGAGTCAACTAAGTGGAACATTCATTAACTTTAGCAGTAATTTGTCATGGCTGACAGGATCAAATGCTTTCACAAAATAAAAGATAATTGCAAAATTCGATTCGTTATCTTTAGGGTGACTCCAGTCCTCTATAATTTGAAGAATAGCATCCATTGCATGTGAAAAAAAAAAAAACTGTTTGTTTGAGACCCATATGTGCTTGGTTTGGTAGACAATAAAATTGGTAATAATGTGTTTAAAACTTAACATATGCGTATGTAATGGAAGTCATAGGGTAGTCATTACATGAGAGCTGGTTATTTATTTGGAAATTAGGAGTGTTATGTTCGCTCATTTCCATAGATCAGGTAACTGTTTTCTATAAGATGGTTAAATAGGATACAGAGTGATAGGGCAATTTTAAAGCTAGCAGATTTAAATAAAAGCACAGAAATATCATCTGGTCCTGACAATCCTGTCTTTAGTTTGCTAAGTTGGTTGAAAATCTTATCGTAAAAATGGTGGTAATATGGGAATTTGCTTCTCGAATGATGAAGAATGAAAGGTTAGGTTGTTTCTTACTAATCCAAACACTTTGAAAATAATCTTTTAATTGGTTTGTTAATGTCTCAGAGATAAAGGTAATGATTTGTCCTTTATCTCCTAGCCTGTTCTTGCAAAAAATCTGTTTTTCCAGAGAAGAATTGTCTGTTATAGATTCGTTTTCTTTTGCTAGTTTATATAATTATGATTATTTAATTATAATTATGTAATATTTATATTCACATTCAAAATACTAAACCATCTTAAATATGTCAATCATTTAAAGTTCTTAATCTTAAACTAAAATCTCCTTATTTTATAATTTTAAATCCTAATATTGTAAAAACCATAATTGCAATAATTAGGAATGTTACTATTAAATAAAATAAGAATGCCTTCAGACTACTTTACTATACCAAAACAATGCTTTTTTGAAAATATTAGTAATTTAATGGTTTTCAAAAAATCAATATTTCTTTCTCATATATATTTTAGTATTTCTGCATAATTAGAAACCACCCAACCCACACAAGCACAGAGAAACCTGTTAAAACTACTCAGTTATAAAATTTGCATTTTACTCATGTTCAGTCTCAGACAGGTATTTAAAAACTGCAAAATTTCTTATTTATTTGTAGTTATTTTTCCGTCATTTTTGAGTTCACCATATCATTTTCCTTTTGTTTATGCTTAACTTGGTTATGAAGTTGTTTTTTAAATTATATTAGTCATATTTAAAGCGTGCTGCAATCTCATAGCTGACAGTTACTGCTCTCACCACCTGGCTGAGTCTTTTGCATGCTACTTTGTGCTCGTTAGGAAGTGCTTAGAGTATTCATCTATCAGCTGCTAAGGTACACAAGGTACTAAAATCTAAAATTAAGAAATCAGAGATGCTTGTCCAGTTAAAAACAGTATTAATGCTGAGATGGCATCATAGTTTGTTTGTAATCTATATATACCTCTCTTGGTTGTTTTCTTTGACCTGCGCATTGTTTGTAAAAAATGTGATGAATTATGATAATCTGCCTTACCTAAAACTCTCAGTCTTTTTTTTGTTTTTGAGATCTAACATTGAAGCTAGTTTTTTGGTTGATGAATTGCGCTCCGATGATTCACATGAAAAACTTAAAGGAAGGCTTGTCCTAAAGCCCATTTAGTTTTCCTTTGTTTACCATGTCAGGGGTGAATAGTATATAAATTCATATAAGAATATTTGAACAATTCTAAGTGTTTATATAGTCTTACATATGATGACTAAGGTATAACAACAACAACATGTTATTGAAGTTGCCCTGGATACTAAAGCATTTGATTAAACACCATTTGACAATATATTAAAGAGATTGATTGTTTTTCAAAGTTTTTGTTGCTTTTTCTTTATTGCGCAATGAGTTTCATCTAAGTTACTTAAATCTTTCATGCACTAAAAGAATGCCTTGACTTCCATAAAATGTTTAATAAGTACATTCTACCTACATAAAATCTAGTTTTACCATGGAAATGGTTATTTCAATGCATTAAAAATTGAATCCTTAGTTACTTATAAAATCTATCATGATATATTATTTGACTATTAAACTAAAGTCGAAATATTTAATTTCTCAGGATTTTTTCTATCATTTATTTTTATTGAATATAAACCCTTTCTTTTGAATTATCTTTTTAAATGAAATTTATATTTTGGTATTTATTATTATTTGGATTGCCAATTTTTTGAATTTCAATTTCATATGGAAATCTTAAGTATTTAAACTCCATAAATCCATAAAACATTTCTGATAGAATATTTATATAAAATTTAATGAAGCTAATTTATAAATATAACAAAAATAGTATATAAATGTTTCAATATGTTTTGCTTATTTCAAATTTCTTCTTTAATGATAATAGATTACCAGATGGTCTGACTCGTAGAGGAGATATAAACATTCTATTGCTTGGAGATCCTGGCACAGCAAAAAGTCAGTTGTTAAAGTTTGTTGAGAAAGTTTCTCCAATTGGTATTTATACATCAGGAAAAGGAAGTAGTGCTGCTGGATTGACAGCTTCAGTTATAAGAGATCCTGTTTCTCGCAATTTTATTATGGAAGGTGGAGCTATGGTTCTTGCTGATGGAGGTGTTGTTTGTATTGATGAGTTTGACAAGGTACAATTTTCTTGTATTTTTAAACATACTTTTTATTTATAGGATATGAAAAAGCATTGTACAGTTTGTTTGTGTGCGTGTGTGTGTTAATACCATGTAAATCTAAGTTCCCAGTAGCGTATGGATACATACATTTTGTATATCAACTTATATTTAAACCCAACATTTTTTTTAACACTTGATTTTTATAATTACTTCACTATCACATTCCAAGCTATTGAAACCTAAATAAATCATGTTATAAGTAAATATTATAAGTAAATTTATTTTTATTGCATGTTTATTGTTTCTTGTTGTCATTTTAAAAAAAAGGCTATTCATAGATGCGTCAAGATGATCGTGTGGCTATTCATGAAGCAATGGAACAGCAAACTATTTCAATTGCTAAGGTATTTTTGTGTATAGTTGTGTATCCTATTTTATTTTTATAAAGTATGTACATTATTTATTTTAGTTACTTTATCTTAAATTTATATTTAAAATAAAATGAGAAAAAGTTGGCATTAAGGAAACATTGTTTTCAAATTTTTGAAATCTGAATCCAAATAGGATTTATTAAGGTTATTCTTTTTATACTTTATTGTGATGCTATTGATAAGATGGATATACATAATAAAATCTTAACCTATATATTATATTAAAAAGAAATTGTTGTTGGAATACTAACAAAATCAGACATTATAACATTGCTGGTGGTTTTAAGTACCTGAGTTTGTTAATAATCAAGATTAGTTTAAATAATTTTTAATTTTAACTCATGATTTAATCCTTATAATTAGATTTTAATTAAAAAATGAACTACAAAAATAACATTTTTGTCTAGATTTTATTTTAGCTATAGGTGGAACTATAAACTAAAAACAAAAAAGTTTATTTTTTCCAAGTTGATATGTTTTAATCATAAGATCAAAATAGCCAGAAATTGGCAGATATTATTCAATCTAGGATTCTTTGTTGAACTTTGAAAAGTTAAACAACGATTATTAACAAAATTAGAAATTTAGAAACTTTAAAAAAGAAGTGCAATCAGTAAGATTTTTCCAGTAACTTGGATTAAATATTTGTATTTAAAAGGTAGACTCACATCAGATTATCAGCTATTATTGCAATCAACAAGGTGAAGTAAATTCAAAATTCCAAATATTTACAAGGTTTTATTTATGGAATTTATGACAAGTACTGGACAAGTGTCTGTGTACGCAGTGAGGGAAGTTGTTTGCGTGAATTTACGCTTTTTTAGTTTATTGTTGATTGCTAGTACCAATACGACAAATAAATGTTAGTTCGAGCCATTAAATACTAAATTATGTAAATTTAAAAACAAACCTTGAAGTCCTATTAACTTTTATTTATCTACCTAAAATACTCGCCTGAATGTATTTTGTCATGCATTGGGGACCTGAGACACAAATAAGAATTTCCATTGTATTGTATACACGAGATTAAATCTCGCGATATTTTTTCTCCCTGACTAGTTATGTCAAATTATATTCTTTTAATTGTTTTGGGACACTTTTGGATGTTTTCTATATATTTTTTTATTTTATGCTCTCCAAACACAACATTAATAACCAATCACCATCTTCCAATCAATTAACACTTTCTCTGACTAAATATTTTCTCCAAACACAACATTAATAACCAATCACCTTACACTTTCATCTTCCAATCAATTAACACTTTCTCTGACTAATTATTTACTGAGGCTTAGCTTGAGGGATATTTTTCTTTTCATTGATTAACCGCAAAATATGTCATACAACACCTGTATACAATTTTACAATTTGCATGCGCTATTTAAATTGCTCATTGACATTGCGCAATATATCCTTCAAGACTTATTCTTATTTAATATCAAATTATGGTTTTATCTTAAATGCTTTTTATTTTATTGTGTGTTTGTTTGCCTTAAATTCATTCTTTAGTACTTAAGAATAATGTAACTTACAAGTTTTTGTCTTCTGTTACTTCTTGCGCAACATGTTTTATTAATTTTCTAAAAAGTATATCTGCGTACATTGTTTAGAATGGAACAAGTTATGGTATTTGGCTGAGCAGTAGTATGTCCTATCAAATGTTGCAACATTTGATAGGACATAAATGTTGCAACACAGGCTTTGATGCAGACGTAGAGGTCGGTTTTACTTGCTTGTTTTGAGGATGTTACCGCAATGGGAGTTTCTAGGAATGAGCATTAAAACATTCGAAACGTCAAATAATTGAATCTTTATAAGGGTCAATACGATGTCCACTTCCTGACGAGAATCTTTATTATACTACTATATTATACTACATAATTTTCAATTTTATTTTAACGCTGATATATTTTTATTTTATTTCTTTAAGCAATTATGCGCGCGCTTTCACATATATTAGATGTTTGTTGTTTGTTGTTATACTTCTGTTTTATAGTTGTACTTGATATCTAATGAATTGAGTAATTTTGTTATATTATGTTAATTGTGTATCACATTATGCTTACCACAACGATGGCAATTGTTAATATTTGTTTTGATTTTCGTAATATGTTTTTGTATATTTATCTTATAAGCTCATATAGGTTTAATTAGATGTTTTCTTTTTTTTTATCTGAGGCTTAAGGTGTTCAGGTTGCATGAAAATAAACAGACTTCTTGTGTTTTTTCATCTTTGAGTATATTAACTAAACTTAAAATGAATATTTCCATTATAAAGGTGTATGTAAAACAGGTTCACTAAAACGATCAACTCCACTAAGCGGTATGAATTATAATTGAACCTGTACTAAGTTAAAAAAAACTAGAATTAAGTAAAAACAATAACTATTTCTAATATAATCAATCACTTCCTTTATCTAAGGCATTTACGGCTAAATATGTTCCACTAGTGACTATACTCACTTGTTCTAGTTCCAAACCATATATATAAAGAGAACATAATAAGATCAGAATTGGACAAGACTGAAAATCAAATTATTTACGAACACACAGATTCGTACAAATAAAGACATTAAATGATACATAAAACTTTTAACATTTAGAACAGTACAAACACAAAACACAATAACTTACAGAACACTGAAACAACACTTACTTAAATCTAACATAGACAACACTCACTTAACTCAAACGTCATCACTGAATAGTACTCCTCTTTTAAACACCAACTTTCAATACTGGACATCTGTCCAAATATTATAATTTATGTAGCACTTCCTTGCACTTATATAAAATATTTCTTCCTTCTTTTAAAACTATTACAGCCTGATGGTTCTATATAAGTGGTGGAACTTTAATAGCTTCCACTGCGATTTTTTTGTTCGAGCAAAAAAAAAAAAAACTAAAGTGCTTAAACTTAATATCATCTCATGTTAAAATTTCATATTTTCTACACCTACACTTTGTTACTATTAAAAAATAATGATCACTTGAATTTTTTGATCGTATTTTTTAAATAGCAATGAAGTTGTAGGAGTAAAAAGTATGAAATTTTAGCATTAGAGTTATAAAGCATTAGGGGGTAATAAGATAAAACATTAGGTGGTAATAAGCTTTTTAAATTGAATTTTTTTATGTTTAATTAATTTTTTTTAAATGGTTTAATGAAAAAAATATATTATATAAAACTATATTATATAAAAAAATTTACAAATTGGTTAAAAGTTAAGTGTAAAAAAATATTTAGCATTTTTGATGATTTGATGTCTAATCTTTGATTAGTTTAATGTTATCAAATCTCTGTTTTAATTTAATAAAAAACTCTGCACATAAGAGCTGTTTTAGGCTGACCTTAATTGAAGCATTAGTGATTTACCATAACTTAGTGAATTTTCATTTTAAAAAAAGCCATATTTGATTTAAAATGTTGAAAGTAATCTGAAACATAAATTATTTTTTTATTTATAAAGTTTATTAACCATTATGAAATAAAAATTTTAACACTGAAAAAATATTTTTCAATTGACCGGCCAAAAAAAACACTTAACTGTCAATCCTATGTTAGCCAGTCAACCACCCACTTTGGATTTTTTATTATGGATGCTGGCCTTACATAAAAAATATATAAGTTTTTTTTTTTAAAAAGGATTATTTTTAGTGTGAAATTTTTATAAAAGTCGATTATAATGTATAAATAAAATAATTCTTAAGGTCTTTTCTGTCGTGTTGCCTTTGTTGTTAATTTTTTTTTTTTTTTTTTTTTTTTTTTTTTGTCACTTTATAAAAAAAAAATCAAAGGCAACATGACAGATAATTAAAACTTTGAAAAAAAAAATTATAAAAACAAACTACTGTATGATCATTTAATCATAGTTTAATATGAAGGTGATATATATTGTTAAGTGATATAAGGTAAAATATAGTGGTAAGTGATATAAGGTAAAATATAGTGGTAATAAAATATTGGCTTATAAATTATAAACAAGGGAATAAATAATGTAACAATTTATGAAGAATTTATCAGAATTTAAGCTATTAAAAGTTATGTAAATAATTAAACTGATAAAAATTTCTACATTATTTTGTGTTATGCTGAAATGAACTGCACTATTCACCTGTCATTGCCTTTTTGACAAAGTTGCATTTTACTTTGTTTTATGTGTGTGTGTGTGTGTGTGTGTGTGTGTGTGTGTGTGTGTGTGTGTGTGTGTGTGTGTGTGTGTGTGTGTGTGTGTGTGTGTGTGTGTGTAATTATAATTTTATTGTGAAATTTGAATTTAAAAAAATATTTAAAAAGAGCTTAAAGTTAAAATAAAATGATTTTTAAGTTTTGGTCAACTTTTAAAACTATAATTGTTGAAAACCGAAAACTAGTGGGCTTTCATGTTCTGTCAGAACATTTTTAAAATTTGACAACAAAATGATTAATGGGTTTTAGTCATTAATGGTATGAAGGAGTTATTAGCTGTAAGAGAAAATTAAAATTCATTTTTCATAAATAGATAAAATAAATTGCTAAATTCTGTTCACATTGAATTGGATTTTTTGCCTAATAAAAATATGAAAGAATATCTCGCAAGCATTTTTTAAACTCCCAACAATGTGGCTGCAACCAACCACTAAATAAGTTGGTAAGATAATTAAAACTAAAGAAAAGGCTTATAGATCAAAAAAGCATTTGACACAAGACTAGAAAACTAGAAATTGTATGTAATGTGTGTTTACATCTATGTATGTGTGTGTATATATATATACACATACACACACACACACAGGTCTCGGCGGGAATAAATGAGCACGAGAGCAGAGAAAAGCTCTCCTAAGTTGAACTTGGGGAGCTGTGCAAGCTGCTCCTTATTTAAATTGGCGCTCTTTTTTGATTTTAATTTTTTTTTTTTTTTTTTTTTTTTTTTTTTTTTTTTTTTTTTTTTTTGCAACAACCATGCTTTTTAAAAAGCATTCCAGTATATTATCAGGGTGTAAACTAGCCCTGTGGAGCCCCGTCATACGTAGTATTCCCAAATGCTCATAAAATTAAAATTCAAAATTTAAAGGTGAAAAAATCCAATTTTCCAAAAAAGTTTGCCAAATTATAGTTAAATAATAATTCTGAAAATTATTGAAAATTAATTATTATTAAGAACTACTAGAAAAATGACATAAAAAACTCTAATTTATTGTGTAAAACTTGAAATAAAATTGCCATTATAACTATGTGATTGCATAACTGCAAAAATGTCTCTTGGTGTCTCTTGGTATTTTGAGAATTGGGATTTTCCAAGGGATTTTAGGGATTTTCTGGGCAACTTGTTATAAAATTAATTTCTCAAAATTTGCAAATATTATTTGCAATGCGTTCCAACAACAGAATATATTAATTGAAAGAATCACCAAGAAATAAAGTACAATCTAAAAAAAAATAATAAATTTGATTGGTTTAACACCTGCAAATGTTACTTCTTGAAAAGTTTTGGCCTTTTTGTTTGAAAAGTTAAATATGCGTCAAGTAGAATTTTAATAATAATTAAAAGTAGAAGATAACTGGCTCTCTTCCGCAGAGATTTTCGTTGAACGGAATATATTATTCTTAATATATCTTATTATATATCTTAATATATCTTATTATAGACTTTTGCGAGAGCCGTAAATTGCTCCTGTAAACTGTTTTAGGGGAGTGTGGGCAAGAGTATATATATGTATTTATATATTTGTGTTTGTGTGTTTAAGTATGTATAATTTTAATTTAAATATTTATATGACTAATTCATATAAATAAATATGATAAATATTTTTTATAATTATCTTAAAAATTGTCTTTATAATTAATATCTAATACAAGTTTGTGTTTTTTAAGGCTGGTATTACGACTACTCTGAATTCCAGGTGTTCTGTTTTTGCTGCTGCAAACTCAGTGTTTGGTCGATGGGATGATACTAAAGGGGAGCAGGTAGATTTCATCTTGTTAAAATATTTAGGAAATTAGATTGCTTCTCTTATCTATTTTTCTTTTCTTTTTTTTTTTTTTTTTTTTTTTTTTTCTTTTTTGGGAGGAAAAATTTAAAAAGTTGATATTTTAATTTTACCTACAAAATCATCATAATTTATTAACAATTGCATTATTTTATTAAGAACATAATGCAAGAAGCAAAATATAACTATAATTTTCATTTTTTTTTCTAAGAAAAGAGGTAACCTCACTTTTCCAACTCTCCTCTTGAGAAAAAAAAGCTTATACTAAATATTTTTAAAATTAAAGTTTTTAAATTCAGTGTCAAATGTCTTTTTAATAAGACAAGAAACTAGAGGGTGTTATTGTTATATCACAAAGTAGGGTTTTGGTTAAACCATAATTCATTTAAATTAAACTCTAATCCAATTAAACTCAAACCGTTCAAGAAAACCCAGTTAAGTTGATTAGCTCCTCCTGATTTAGTTGAATGAAATTCCGAGATACTCAAAACAAAGATCAAGAACAAAAGGCTTACTAAGGGCAAACAAATAGCTTCAAAACATACAGCGTTAATAGATACAACTAGCAACATAACTAAATGAATAAATAGTTTTAAAAATTTTTTTTAATTCTTTTTTCACTTATCTTTTTATTTATTTTTATCCTTTTTTTTTATCACTTATTAATTTTTTTTCCCTTTATTTTTAAGTTGGAGGAAAAAAAAAGGTCTATGGTTGAATTAACTATAATAAATGAATAGTAATAACATATCAAGTGTAAAAATTAAATTTTAAAGTGGGACAGGAAGATAGAAAATTAAATTTTAAAGTGGGACAGGAAGATAGAAAATTAAATTTTAAAGTGGGACAGGAAGATAGAAAATTAAATTTTAAAGTGGCACAGGAAGATAGAAAATTAAATTTTAAAGTAGGACAGGAAGATAGAAAATTAAATTTTAAAGTGGGACAGGAAGAAAATTTTACTTCTGAAGAAGTAAAATAACCTAAACAGATAAAATCTTAAAATCTTAAAATCTGTTTTATATTTGTTGAGGTTTCAAGGAAATAAAAAATTTAAAAAAATTTTAAAATTATAAAATTTTTATCTATTTAATAATTATCAACATTAATAGTTTAAATTTATTTATTGAATTGTGTACTTCAAAAAGTAAAACAAAATATATTGATTAGAATATTGATTTTTTCGTCATTTTTTTAATCTTGTTTTTAGAATATTGATTTTATGCCAACTATTCTGTCTCGTTTTGATATGATTTTTATCATAAAAGATGAACATGATCAAAATAAAGATGTGGTAAGTATTTATCAAAAATAAAAATAGTTTGTAACACAGGTTAAATATAACATAAACCAAAGTAAATATGTAAATGCATTTAAAATTCTGAGTAAAACAAAACATTAATTATTTGAATATGAACAACACTTTAAGGAGTGTGGTAGAGTCCTCAGTTTGTGAATGAGAAATTTAATTTGCGCAATGTTTCTAGTAGTACCATACTTAACTTATTTTTCCATGCAGCAGTCTTTGTCAAAGCTGGGTTAATTGATTTTTAATGACTTGACTGTAGTAGACACTAGCTTTGGGAGGGGAGAGGTTGAATACAATTTTAAAATGTAAATCTTAACAATTGTTTACATTTATGTTTATAAATTTCACTTTTTTCTGTTTAAATTTTCTTTAATTTTTATATATGTTTATGGTGGTAAAAAAAAAGTATTTTTTCATTGAAACTTAGTTTGATTAAAAAATAATTTTGCATTCGAGCAAAATTTATTCTTTAGATAAAGGCTTTTGAGTTCTAAGACCATAGCAACAACCTCTGTTTATATATTTTTAAAAATATATATTAAATAATATAAAAATATATAAACAAAAAGAAACCAAAAAGGTTTCTTTTTATTCTTTTAAATATCTACCTTTATTCTGTTTATAAACTATATATTGAACTTCAAAAATGGTTGTCCAATGGTTGCTGTCAGTCTTCAATAAGTTAGTTATATACAATGGGTATTTTACTATAGAAAATTTAAGAAAATCTGACATTCTAAATGTGAAGCAATCTGAGAAGTAGACCAGCTCAGTAAAACAGACAAAGAAAACTCTCAGAAATGATAAAAATAAATTTAAGGAAGGAGAGACAATGCTTGTAGAGCATTATTGTTTGCTTTTTCATGTTTTATTGTTAAATTTTTTTTTTCTTTTATTCTGAAAGGTTTTTTTTTTTCTTTAAATTTTCACTATGTTGTGACATTTTTAGCGGAGTCGAAGTCGCTAAACAAAATCGAGACTCCGACTCCAATAGTAAAACTTCTCAGTATTGTATGTACATGTACAAAACATTCAATTAACCTTATGTTCATAAATAAACCTCAAATAAACTTGTCAAAAAAAATTTTTAACTTATCGCGTAATATTTTTTTTAAGAATTCAAAGAATTTTTCAAAAATTTTGCTTTGGAGTTGTAGTCGGAGTTGTACCGAAAAAATTTCAACAACTGGAGGCGGAGTCATTACTTTTTTTTTACGACTCCACATCCCTGTTTGAAAGTATCTTTAATTATATAATTAATTATATTATAAATATGTTTGGAGACCTAACAAACTCTAGCCATTTTAAACTGAAATATCAAATATCTGAGTTAACATAGCAAAGATTGTACGCAATTATCAAGAGACATTGTAAGTTGGTTACCGTAAGATTGGTGTTCACTTCGTTAAAAGTGTCAGACTTTTCTTGATCTAAAGATTACCTTCCTGTAGATTTTAAATCATTTGTCAATTACAAATTTGTTTGTACAGGATGTAAATCCTGTTATATTGGCAAAACTTCTTGTCATTTAAAGATATGAATGATTGAATACTGCAAAACTTCTTGTCATTTAAAGATATGAATGATTGAATACTGCAAAACTTCTTGTCATTTAAAGATATGAATGATTGAATACTGCAAAACTTATACCAATTATAAGTAATAATACTAATAGCAATAATAACAATAATAATAATAGTAATAATAATAATAATAATAATAATAGCAATAATATTAATGTAACAAGTAATTAAATTTTAACAAAAAGAAAAGACATGCATAATATAATAGTTTGATCTAAACCGTGAAACCATTAAATCAATTAATTTTATAGTTAGATTTTAAAAATTAAAAAAAACCTAGATCGTTTATCTAAAGATCATATTTAAGGATCTGCAAAATATTGAGTTTTTCCCACATTCTATATACTGATATCTATTATCTATTCAAATGTTTGAATTATTGCAAGTTTTTTTGTTCTAAAATAAGTCAAAGGAAATTACTGATTTATACCAATAACAAAATTGAATTAAAAATTAAAGAAAGTATTCATATAGGATAGGAAAAACTTGAATAAACAAGTAAATCATGTTAAAATGAATCTTACCATTTAAAATAGTTTACTGATTCTTTTGTTATATCTGACATTTGTTAAAATAAATTTTAATAATTCTTTTTGTATATATAGGAAGTTTGTTATTAATTTTATCACTTTTATTATGTTTAATTTTACAATTATATATTATATTTTATACTGTTTTTAACAAATATATCAACTGATGATGACTATATACATTCGAAACATGTCGACCTAACTGCTGACCTAAAAGTGTTTGAGGTCAGCAAAAAATTGCCAACCTTGTTTTTATGTTAAGACCTTCATATCAAATTTTTTTTCACCAACCTACCGACCTCTAAATTGATTGATTGAGGTCAGCAAATTATTGCCGACCTCATCTTTCTTAATTCCGAGGGTTGTATATATATATATATATATATACACACGCACACACACACACACACACGCACACACACACTATTGCTAGGTCATTTTTTAATGCTTTATGTTGTTATTTTTTTAATTGTTTTTAAGACCTGAAAAAGTTGTAAATGTTGTTTTATTTTTCATTTGAAAGACTGCCTGCCCCAACTAAACCTTCAGTCGATGTAGAGGCACTTAATTAATGTAGCGACACTCTGTGCATGTTTTATAAAAAAATTAAAATAAAACATTCAAAATGTTTCCATTTTTTTTTTTTTTTTTAAACATTTAGAATTTTTTTAAAAAACATTCAAAATGTTATTATTTTAGTCCTTTGATTTGCGTTTTTGTGGTTTTTTAAAAAACAATAAATTTAATTAGTTTATTCAAATAAATTAATGTGTTTCGCCATAATCTGACAATAGTTTTGTCAAATTAAATCTTATTTAAGTAGTTATGTGGTTTTTTATACTAAAATGGTAAGTTTATGACTTATACTATAGGTATACTCATACACACACACACACACACACACACACACACACACACCATTGGCTATAAATTAGAGCTCACTTAGTTTTTTTTATAAAACATTAATTCAAATAAAATAAAATGAAAACTAAAATGTTTTTTGTTTTTTTATTTTTTAATATTATAGGTAAAATCTATATGCATTATGGAAATCTTAAAAATAAATTTAAGCATAATGGTTTTGATACCAAAAATTGAAAAATAATTTTGTAGAACAACCTTTCTGTAGTAAGCATAAATTTACTTTCTTTGGCATTGAGTTTACAAGATTTAGAGATATTTCCTTATTTTAATTTTTAGTTCATCATTTGAAATTTCACTTTTTCCATGATGATTATCTAACCATGACCATAAATTTTCAATACAATTTAAGTATCGGCTGTTAGCAAACCACATCATTATTGAAATTTGATTGTCTTCAAACAATTGTTTGCATATTTTTGTAATAAGGCATGATGCCCCTTTTGTTGATATATGATATTGCTGTTTTTTTCTTTAAATATATTGATTTAGGGAAGAATTTAGTAATTTTAAACTTCAATGTTTCTATCAGCATTAAGTTCAAATAATCGATAACATCCAAATCCTGAATAATTCATACGGGGCCTATAGCCTACACTGCCACTGCCTTGTTTGGTTTGTTTTAATGTACAATTCGAATAAAGTCTTACTTGAGGTAATCACTGTAGCATAATACCAAATTTTCCCATATTTACCTTAACATTTACTTCACCACTTGCAATTTGACCAATTTTTATGTTGATTGCACCAGGAAATCCTTGCTTTTTGCTATTTTTTCGAAAGTCTTGGCTTTTTGCACGCAGATCACTATAAAAAATTCTTCAAACAGTTCTTGCACTCACATTTATTCCAGAAGTATTGTTCAATTCATGGCTGAGAGCGTTTGATGATAATTTTCTATCATGTTTTATTAAGTGAAATGTATTGTTATAGTGACTGACCAGATATGCCGACCCCTAATGTTACCTAATGTCATCTATTTCAGTATAACGTTTTAAAATACCAACAAACAAATATATGATAATTAACTTATTGACTATTTGATGATGAGATAGCCCTTGGTTTTGAAGAAAGATAAATTTGTAGCGTATTTTTTCTGAGATTCTTAACCGTGATTTTGGAATTTCATGCTGTATTTTTTCGCTCATTTTGTAACTTTTTAATTAATTTATTCATGTTTTTATTATTGGTATTTCAAAATAAAAAATGCTGATAAAAATTGAATCAAAATTATCAAAGAAAGTCATAAATATATTCAAAAAATGCTGATAAAAATTGAATCAAAATTATCAAAGAAGGTCATAAATATATTAGATTAATTTTAAAAATATAGCAGCAAGTCTTAACTTTTGACCGACATAAAAAATCAAAATAATATAGTAGATATTATAAAGTTAAATTTAGTTAGACATACAAAATTTATTTTAAGGAAACAATACATCAATTAAATACTAAACATGATACTTATTAATTAGAACTAAAAAAATATTGAAAAAGTTTAAAAGTTTTTAAAATAATTTCAATCAACAGGATATTTAAAAAAAAATTATGACTAATGGTGTATATATATATATATATATATATATGTATATATATGTGTATATATATATATACTAGGTTGGTTGAAAAGTTCGCGGAGCGGAAATGAAAAAATAATTTTATGATTCAAAAAATGACTTTATTCTTCAGTATATTCTCCCTTAAGAGCAATACACATTTTCCAACGATTCTCCAATTCATGTATCTCATCTCTGAAGTGCGATTCCGGAAGGCCTTCAAAATACCCATTTACGGCTGCAATGACTTCTTCATGTGATGAGAAACGCTTTCCACGTAGAAATTTTTTGAGATGTGGAAAGAGGTGGAAGTCGGACGGTGCCAGATCTGGTGAATAGGGTGGATGTTCCAAGCGTTCGTACTTTAATTCGACCAATTTCGCCTTTGCAACATCGCTGATATGAGCAGGTGCGTTGTCCTGGTGATAAATGATTTTTTTATGCAGCAAACCAGGTCTTTTCTCACGAATTTTTTTATCCAACTGGTCCAAAAGATTTTTATAATATTCACCTGTTATGGTTTTACCGGTTTGAAGGTAATCTATTAATAAAATTCCTTTCGCATCCCAAAAAACTGATGCCATAACCTTCTTTGACGATTTTGACGCCTTCACTTGCTTCGGAGCTGAACAACCGGGTTCTGTCCACTCTGCAGTTTGTTGTCGCAGCTTCGGATCATAGTGGTAAACCCAAGTCTCATCCATGGTTACGAATCGACGCACAAAATCTGTTTTATTCTTTTGAAAACGGGCCAAATGTTCTTGAGAAAGTTTTACTCGAGTGCGTTTCTGATCCAGAGTTAGCGAATGCGGCACCCATCTTGCCAACAGCTTTCTCAGACGTAATTCATCGTGCAAGATGTGTAATACCCGTTCATCTGAGATGCCCACAGCCTCAGCAATTTCACGTTTGGTCAATCGTCTATCATCCATAACCATGTCATGCACAGCATTAATCGTTTCTTCAGTAGTAGCACTTTTTGGACGTCCAGAGCGAGGGTCATCTTCAAGGCTTGAACGCCCACGTTGAAACTCCGCAGCCCATTTGCATACTGTTGTTTTTGAAGGAGCATCATCACCCAACACATTTACCATTTCATTATGAATTTCCATGGGCTTTAAACCTTTTTTCACAAAGAATTTTATTATAGCACGATGTTCAATATTTTCCATTTTAAAAAATACTATGACACGTCTAATTTCAATAGCTTGTAAACAAAGACTGAAATGACATATCGACTTGAAATTTTTTATGCGTTCATACGAAGAATGAATACGTTTAATACAGTTATAAATTTGTTTCTACTACTGCAACATAGGTGCCGCTCCGCGAACTTTTCAACCAACCTAGTATATATTAAAATAAAGATTTTAATTTATAGCACCTTGCAAAACATGTTATGCAAGTTCATCTTCATGCTGGACAGTCTAATCAAGGAATGGAAGGAGACCTTAGTTTAGCTTTCTTTAAAAAGTTTATTGATTATTGTAGAAGGTAATTTTGATGTAATCTTATATTCAAGAGTAATAAAATACTGTTTTAAATACTTTTAAAAATTCAAGTTCTTTGATGTTTATATTTGAAACCATTTAGAAAAATATTCAACTTTAATTTTAATTGCAATATCTTCAAAAAAATTATAGTGAATATTGATTATACTCCTATTTTTAGTTTTAAATGTTTTAGTGTTAGTTATATTTTATTTACTAACTTTAGAAAATGTGGTCCGCGTTTGTCAGAAAATGCTGCAGAAAAGCTTAAAAACCAGTATATTCTTATGCGCAGTGGCGCTAGAAATATGGAAATGGAATCAAACAAGCGTAATTCTATACCTATTACTGTGCGGTAAGTATTTATGGTGAAATATATATAAACATTTTGTTGTTTGTTTGTTGTTGTTTTTTTGTTTGTTTTTTTTTTTTTTTTTTTGAAAAATTATTTATGTTATTTCAAAGATTAAATTAAGACGTGTTTAATCACATGATTGTTTAGAAAATCAGATTCAATTTATAAACTAAAAATAAAAAGCATAGTCTTTGAATTTAGTTTAAAATAATCCTATAGTTAAATAAAGCAAAAATAATTGGAGTTTTACTGTTAAGCATGGTTAATTATGCACCCATCAAAATAGGTAGTGGTTTGATTTTAAAATAACATTTTAATGGAATGGCATTTTTCCACAAAAAGTTCATTTTTTTGCGTAAAGTTTTATAAATGAACAAAAAGTTCATTTATAAAACTTTACGCAAGATTTTTTAAATAAAAATCACATTTTTATTTAAAAAATCTTGCGTAAAGTTTTATAAGCATAAAAATGTAAAAAGAGTAAAAAAAAGGTGTGCAACTAATTTTTAATTAACTTGTAGTCATAGTTGCTTCCAGCTTTGTTTATGTGTGTTGCTAATATGGTATATTGTTGTTGCTAATATGGTATATATGTATTATTCATAGCTAAGAGTAACTTTTTTTGTTTTAAAAGTTCGTTGTATACATTATGTGTACAAAGAAAAAAAAATTTAGCCTTTTTGCTAAGGCAAAAATCAGTATATTATTTGAAGTGAATTTGTTTAAAAGGTAAAATATGGTTAACTATTAGAGTTAAAAATTTCTTCAGGGAAAGGGGTATCTGGTACACTATGTTTCATTTGAATTACAAAGTACATATGCATTGGTCCTAAGGTTTTTATAGGAAAGCCTTTTGAGAAAAATTTTTTTTTTACGTTATTTTTTAAATAATCTGGAAATAATTTTTATTCAGTTTATGCTTTCACAAATTAAATTCTTTAATCATCTGATTGTAATAACTTTGCTAGTATATTAGTATTTTGCATAATAAAATGCAAACATCTAAAATCAACCCAAAAAAATTGTAAAAAATGTTTATTATTACGTCATATAAATCGCTTTCAAGGATTGTAATAAATTTAAGAAACCACATCAAGGGTTGAATTAAGCGATTGCGCTGGCCACGTGGAAATTTGTGATCCTGATATTATTTAAATATGAGAAATTGCGATTGCTGATTTTTAAGTATTAAAAAAGTAAAGCTCTTAAAGTTAAACAATTTTTTAATTAAAATGTTATTTATATTAAAACTATTCAGTTTTAAGTTTATTTATTGCTTCTTTCCAACAACTACTAGATTACTTAATTGCTGATCACCAGATTGTATAATTGCTGACCACCAGATCAATTAATAATTATTTAAAAATGTAATCATGAAGTTAAAACGATTCTCTATGTTGAAATCTCAAGTTTCAGTTTCTGACCTTGTTATGCATTCAAAATATTTGAATAATAAAATAATAATAAATTTACTTTTCTAAAGAGTTTTACGATTAAATCTATCTTTACAAAAAGAAAAAATATAATGCTATTTGAATAAAGATATATTTCTCAAAACAAAAGAAATTGCTGTTGGATTAATTAAAGTGTTGTTTTTTAATCGAAACTCCAAATGTCACATGTATAAACAAAAATATCTTAGTTTGAATTATCTAGTATAATCTTCCTTGTTTTATTTAAAATAGTAATGTGCGCATTTTTTGGAGCTAAGAATTAACTTTTTATTTCAAATAAACTTGATATATATTTATTATAGTATCAATAAAGTCTTTTTATTATTTGGATTATCTATTGTTCAAGTACTTAATTTTATCTATTGTTTCAGGTATCTGTTGATTTTTCTACGTTCTCAAAAATTATCCATTAGTTTTACTACGTTCTCCTATACACTTGTATTTGTTTGAAATAATTTTTTCAAGCTATAATTTTAATGCTGATAAAAACCAGCTCTTTTTATAATGTAATGTGACGTGAATGTTACATGCTGTTATAAAACCTAGCGTTTATATATTTATGGGCCTTCAAATCAAGCATATATGGTAAAATCTTGCATAAATAGCCCTTTTCTAAAAAATTCTGCATGTGCTTTTTGGAGCACACAAGCCATTGATGAGATCTGGCTCTGAATGCACTAAGTTTTTGTCCAGTTTTGTTTTTTATTCCTTACACATCTTGCACAGTGTCACAGTTCCCTTCAATTGGCAAGTGTTTTGACAACATTTTTGGTCATCGTGTTAGTTGCCCAAGTCTTCTTCAAAAATTTTTATTAAAATAATAAAAACTAGAATAAAACTAGAAAGGACTTCAACACAAAATTTTCTTCTATTGAGATCACAATTAATGTACTTTTATGGTAGCTTTTTGGCCAATACCAATTCTGATGGACAAAAAAAGGCCATTGCAGATTAATTAACTAAAACTAAATATTACAGGTCAGGCAGGATCAAGATCATCATGATCACCCAGCTATTGGTAACAATAGCTGGGCAATCATTAAGTTTAATCTGGCAACTCTGAGTTATACACTTTGCTTTGGGGTTCTTGGTTGAGTTTAGGCTAGAGATGGTGTCTTCATAAAAATATTTGTCTTGGGCAGATGTTATCTCTTATTCATCTTTTTAGGGAATACTGTTGTCATATTTGGGTTGGTTCTTTTAATTATGCTTAATCTTATTTAGCCATTATACAAAAATACATTGTAAGTGTAGTTGAACCTGCTCTAGTTTCCAAGCTTGTGCTTTGGTCATAAGGTTGCATATGTCATGGTTTTTCTATTTTTTTTTAACTACAACCATGGTCACTGCTCAAACTATGTACATCATAGCTTTCGATGTACTTCGCGCAAGTGATGCACATCAAAAATTCAATTTGTTCCAACTCAAAACTCTTGTTCTACCTAAACTCAATCTCACATGACTCAATATGTAGCAAAGTTGCATCCTTTTATTTTTATAAACCTAGTTTTTGTTTACCTCAAATACAGTACTTTAGAAGTTATTTAACTGTTTTCTTTGCTTTCTGTTAACTACCAACTTACATAATATTGATTGCAACTTTTTTGGAAATGAGTTTGTTATTAAATATATATATTAAGTTGTATAATTTTGTCTCAAAAATAAAAAAATAAAATCTATATATATTATTAGTGTGAGCAAAAATTGTGGGTATAAGTTTTGAGGTGTTTAAATATTATATCTGCAGGAATATATAGGAAAATTGTGATTAATTAGTTTAGCATTTTAACAAATCACTAAAGCTTGTCCTTGAAATAAATGTATCAAAATTGAAAGACTTAGTATAGTGTCAATGTTTACCGTGTATTGTTGTATTACACTATTGGATTTGAAACCTGAGAAAAGCTCAAACTTGATCTAAATGCAGATGATTTTTCTGCTTAGGGTTCATTAAACTTATGGCTTTTATCTGAAAAATTCATACCACTTTTCCTATCACTTCCACTTAGTTTTCTCGCAGTATCTGATTGATCTCTAATCGGTTATCATCTGGATTCATAATCAAAAAATTTTATTAAATAGGTAAAAAATGAAAATCATGATACATGGCACTGTTGGTACAAATATGTACCATAATAAAATACTGCTGTTACAAATATGTAGCTTGAGTTAAATCTTGTAAAAATAACCCCTTCTTCCCCCCCCCCTCCTCTCTTTTTTAAATTTTATACTTACTCCAACCTCTGTATATACAAAAAGAAAGTTCTATACAAATTATAAACACTTTTTACACAAATTCTATATGAATAATACACTCAAATTGTAAATGTATGAATTCCTTAAATAGTTTTTTCTATTTTATTGACACTATTTCGATTAATTAGAAATATCCGCAAATGGTATGGGGGAATAGTGTCATAAAATTTTGATTTTTGCAAATTTGATTCTCAAAAATGTAAAAAAGAAATAGTGTCACAAACTGTTGCATTATTGATTATCGAATAACAGAATAAAGAATAATATTGCAAATGAATGTCAAAAATAAAAAAAGGAATAATGTTGCAAAGAAGTTTATTAAATAGTAGTGTTTATTAAACACTACTATACTGAAGCCCCCGGCAGCAGGCTTCTGATAGCCTGCTGCCACAAAGCTACATTGAATGAGATTTTGGGTATGGGTAGCAGTCTTTTCTTTCATTATTCTTTGTTTTTTTTCTTTAAAAGCCATATGCTATAAATTTTTTGTTTTTGATATTATTCATTAAATTTATTTGCAACATTCCTTCTTTTTTTTTTTTAACGCTATTTATTAAATTCATTCGCAACACTATTTCTTTTTTTCGTATATATATATATATATTCAATACTATTCTGAAGTTCATTTTTCAAACTATTCATTAGTGTGATAATTTATTTATTTTCATAACAATTTTTGATTTTATGTAAATTTAAGACACTAAACACAATTTATTGTTTATTTGTATTATTACATTTTTATAGTCAGTTGGAGGCTATAGTTCGTATAGCTGAATCTCTTGCAAAAATGAAGCTACAACCATTTGCAACAGAAAGTGACATTGATGAAGCTCTACGATTATTTCATGTGTCCACATTAGATGCAGCAACATCAGGAAATTTATCTGGAGCAGAAGGTTTTACTCCTGAAGAGGATATTGAAGAAGTAAGAAGAATTGAGCAAGCACTTAAAAAACGATTTGCAATTGGATCTCAGGTATTGTATATCCTTAATATGCATTTATTATTTCTTTATTTGGTTTATTTTTCTACAGCATAAATAAAAATACTGGCAGAGTATTATTAATATAAATGATATAAATACAGAACATGTAGAGTAGTATTACTGGAATCCTACTATAGCACAGTGAACCAGAGTTCTCAGCGTAGTTAAGGAGAGATCCAAAGAAAAATATAGTGTTTAGGCCCTTTCGCTTTCAAAAAATGTTATTTTATTTTATGCGCGTTTTGATTGGTTTATTTTTATTTTTTAAATTACAAAACTCGTTGTTTTTAGCTGAAACGTTTTTGTTTAGTATTTTATTCAAATGACTATAAAGAGATTATGGTAGTAAATTGCTGAGTGAAAACTAATGTGAAAACTTCAATCTTAACATTTTTACTGTTTACGGAAAAATAAAATAAGAGGTTTTTAGTCATTTATTGAATATTTTAATGCTGTAAACAAGAAGTCTTTTTAATATCAAATAAAATAAGGCATATTTGGAATGTAAACACTTAACACATTTGTTTCAGCTGTTTTTGTTTATGACGCTGCACCGTTGCGTTTTATGTTTTTTAGTGGTAGTTTTGTTTTGCTTGATGCTTTGGTTAAAAAAAGATTTGTAAAAAAGTAATAAATTAAAAAAGGAAAAACTTAAATTCTACTTTTTAAAAATATGTAATAGTAATAGTTGAAAATAGCAGAAAACACAAAAAATTGAAGTTTAAAAATGTAAATTTTTGTTTATGAGAAATGCTAATCGTTTGGATCTCTCCTTAACTATGCTGAGCTAGCTTGATAAAAGTTTTTGTTTTTATATAATAATGGTTCATAAACAATTTTTGTTGTATAAACTAGTTTAGTCATGATAAGTTAATAAGTAAATTATTTTCACAATTGTTTGCTCTGTAAGCTATATTGCAAAGCAACTACAGGTTAGCTTAGTTGAATAAAGTAAATTTAATATTATAAATAAAAAAGTAAAATTTTACTTATAATATTAAAATTTTCATCCAAGCATGAATGCTCATAATTGAGCCCAGTTTTAGTTAGTGAAAGGTTTTTCACTGTGTTCATTTTGTTCATTTTTTTGGAATACAACCACTAACTAAACAGTATTATGATGATTTTGTTGCTGTGACAACTTATAAACCATAGTGATTTCAGTTTTGTGGAGAACTGTAAAATGTTCATAATTTTTAGTAAATAGTTTTTCAATTGAGTTTGTAAGAAATTCTTCTTTTTCTTGCAAATCAATGTAAATATAAAAAGTGGTATGTAAAAGCAGTTAAAGTAATTCTGAATATATATATATATATATATATATATATATATATATATATATATATATATATATTTATATATGTACTTCTAAAGTTAACTATAAAATGTTGATATATCAATATATCTAATAAATCCATGTATACACCTATATACAGTAGTGTGCAAAAAATTAAGGCCACATGAAATTTCACAATTTTTCTTCAACACAACAGAGAATAATTATACTTTTTAACCTAAATGTTTTGCAACTTTATTAATTGATATAGCACAATGTGTAACGTACCAGTCCTTGTTATTTATGCACTAATGTTTGGTTGGAAAACCACAATTTTTCAACACTGCATCAATACGTGCAGGCATGCTACGAACCAGAGTTTTACAATAATCTGGCGTAATTTCCTTCACCCAAATGTCCTTCACAGTACGTTTCAGGTCCTCTACTGACTTGGGTTGGTGTGTCGCAACTTTCTTTTTCATTAAATTCCTGCAATTTTTTATTACGTTTAAGTCAGGTGAACTTGATAGCCAGTTGTTCAAGGTCATAACGCCGTTTGTCGTAAACCAGTTCTGTGTTGTCTTAGCGACATGGCATGATGTCGAATCTTGTTGGAATATTGTAGTATTTGAAATATTCATGTGTATCTTTAACTTTCTATTCAAAATATCAATATACGACTGAGCATTCAGTCTGGTTGTGCCATCCATAAGCTCAAGGAACCCACGTCCTTGACTGGAGATACACCCCCAAACCATAACACTTGAGGAGTGCTTAATTGTTTTCAGCGTATACTTTAGATTCATGCGCTATCCAGCTGGACGTCTTACATAATTGTAACCTGATCCCCTGACCTGCTGGAATGTGCTTTCGTCGCTAAACATTACTGTGTCCCACCATTCCACAGGTTTACCTTTGAAGGCCTTACAGAACTTGATCCTTTTTGCCAATTGTACCTTTGTCAATAACGGTTTTTTTGCTGGTCGTCTTCCAAGTAGTTTGAAATCTGTAGTTAAATGTGGTCTGACTGTGCAAGAATTAATAATTGTCCCTTTCTCACAAATTGCTTGAGCTATGCGAGCAGAGGATGCAGTCGGACTATGTACTACTACAGCTTTCATAAATCGATCCTCGCGACTGGTTATTTTGCGGGGACGGTTGCAATTTAAACGCCTACCTGTCTCCTCCTTTAATGCATTTTAAACAGCACATTTTGAAATCTTTAACTGTCTTGCTATAGCATGCTGACTTTGTCCTACTAAATGCAGTGCATTAATTTGTCTTTTAATAAAACTTGAAATATCCAATTTTCTTCCCATGTTAAAAATGCATCAAGTTATACTTCAATTGCCTAAAAAAATGAAACAATATTGTTATGAAATGAAAAACGCTTTGTGTTGATAACAAAATTTGACCACGCAATACAACACATTTTGATGATGTCATCCAAAGACAATGAAAAAGTGATAATTTGTTGTTTTTTAAAGGTGGTTTTAATTTTTTGCACACTACTGTATATATAATATATAATATGCCTATATATATATATATATATATATATATATATATATATATATATATATATATATATATATATATATATATATATATATATATATATATATATATATATATATATATATATATATATATATAAATCAATTCTGCTGATTATGATAGATAGTCTCGCTTTTCTACTTCACCTGACTTACACTATTCTTTTATTAAATTCATTCTTAAAAATTACAAAAATCTTGTTGAAGCATTTGACAACAGTGATTCTTCTTTAAATTGCAAAATTCTAGGATGGAAAGATAATATGAAACTGCTTTACAATCTATGCAAAGCATATAATTTTTATAATGAAAATTTTTCCTAAAATTAATTTTCCTAATACATTACCAACTCTTCACTGTGCAAGACGGAATTCAAGAGCAATTTATGCATTTTTAAGTTATTTTCTTGTTCAACTCTTGCCTTATTTTTTATGTAACAGTTACTGCAATTAGATGGCATGATATGTTGTATTTTCTATAAAAAATTAAGATGCCAGTATTTTTTATAGCTCTTTTGTGTGTTATGATTGTATTGTTTTAAAGAATTGTGTTTGATAAATATTTGCATTAAAATAAAGTGGCTTTTTGTCATACTTTTAATTTACTATGAAAAATTTAAAGTGGTGATATAATTGCATTGAAATCTATAACAGTTTTGTTTCAAAAAAAATAGTGCATTTGTGATTGTGTGCTTCTTATTATTAAACAAAGTTTATTACTTAACAACTGACAGAAATGATGCAGTACTATTTTTATCATTGTTTCGTAAGTTATTTATCGCATTGAATTTGAAGTAGAAATTCAACACAGCTCAGCAAAACTGCTGTAAAAGGAGATAACAAATGCATACTTTATAGAGAAATTTTAAATTGGTTTGAAATTTGATCTATGTGAAAGTATTTTAAATAAAACAAATTTCTCATCAACTCTTATCAACTCTTCTAGAGAACAACTTGAAGTAGTTTGTAATTTTTGTAACGTAGTTTGTAATTTTTGTAACGTAGTTTGTAATTTTTGTAACGTAGTTTGTAATTTTTGTTAGTGGTAACTGGCACAAAATATGGTTTGGGAAACATATTTTTAATGAAAATGATTTTAGTGATCTTGAAGAAGATATCAAGAAAGTTGGTGATTGCCAGAAAGTTCTTACTTGTTTGAAACACATTGGACTAAAGAACCATCAATTATTGTAAACATCCAGCTCAGTAATATATGTACTAAAAGAGCAATAAAAGTTGCTCAAGACTTGCCTCGATGTATAAACTCTAAGAAACTAAATTTAAAATTTATTTTGTCTAATATTAAGATGTATAAAAAAGTTAATTTCAAACTGCAAATACAAATACAATATTGTTTTAATGATTAGAAATACTTTTTTTTTTTTTTTATTGGTGGGTGATCTTTTGAAAAAAAATCAATGTTAATATATACGATTTTATGTTATTATACATAATTGTTCATTAAAAATTAATATTGGATATATGTGTTGTAAAAAAGTCAACACCCTAATTTATATTTATATATATATATATATATATATATATATATATATATATATATATATATATATATATATATATATATATATATATATATATATATATATATATATATATATATATATATATATATATATATAGTCTTCTCCGTTTGACGAGTTAATCGACCCATGAAACGCTAAAGGAATTTCTTGACTTATATGGCAAAATGCTTTTATTCTGCGTATAGCTCGTTCTACATGAATTCTCATAGATGCTATAGTTTGACTTTCTATTGCATCTTCTTGACATAGCTGTAATTGTCCATTTAAAAAAGATGGTATGTTTAATTTAACATTGATTGTTTTCAAATATATCTGAGATGGTTAACCCACGATCAGCCATAACTGAATTATTTTCATCCCATAATTTTCTATTAAGAAAACCTGGCCTTATAACAACTTCTTTGTCAGAAATAGATCCATCATAAAGTTGACTTATAAAAGTCATAGCTCCTGATGGAGAAATACCTAACAATCCTTTATAAGTTACATGATGTTTATAATACACCTTTTCACAGTTCAGATATTAAATTTATGTGCGCGCAGAAATGGAAGTAAAAACATAAACAAACATTATTTTAACAGTTTAAGTTATAGAGGTTTATAATGGAAAAAAATGTAAATACTGAACCTATACCATATAGAAGTTTCAAGAGATCGAAAACATGCGCTCATCGATTGTAATAATAACAAGTACAATCTAGAAATGTGGAAAGATGATTTATGTATGATACAAAATGTTAAACAAAGCTCTAACTTGTGAAACTGCAAACTACCATTTGAGTAAGCATTTGTTCTCCATTATCAACACACATACAGATATATATAAATATAAAAACAACTACAGCTCAGAGAAATATAGAGAAAACTAATTAACCGTTCAACTCC